CTCGCTACACCATCAGCTGGCAAACAGGCGTACTCCGCTTACATTCATGCTATTCCTTTCCCCCGGTGATGAAGCGATATCGCACGCACGTACACGTAACTCATAAACTCACTCCGTACCGAGTGAGCTCGACAAACCAAGTACCCACGCCTTTAGCAAGACATTCGGTACCTTTTAAAAAAAAAAAAAGAAAAGACAAAAGTAGTATTGATGATCGTCTTCGTTTAGTTCATTTTGGAAATAGTTTGAAAGGGGAAATAAAAGAGTGGATGGAGGAGAAATTTCTCTTCTTGGAATTCAAGACAATATAAACGGGGTGCATTTCCACTTTCCAATTTTTTTTTTTTTTAAGTTTTTATATAGATTTGACGATTTCTGTGAAAAATGGAAGATTCGACTAGCACTTTTCCCGTTACCCTTCATTCTATGCACATCAAAAGTTTCCAACCATAATAGAAAGCATTAAGCTATAGCAACATTTATGTTATACCTGGGAAGAGCCGTTCACGGGTCATTGAGACGAATTGCTCAGCCAAAATAACACTGTAACTTCAGTTTGCAATTGCAGGAATTTTGTTTTTAAAAACATCCATGCATATTTTGAAAGACATTAAAAAAAGCTGAAGCCCCTCTTCTGAGAAAATGTAAAAAAAAAAAACCAAACACCCCCCCCAAAAAAAAACAACAACAACATTTCCTTAAAAACGATCTCAGAGAAAAACGAAGCTTTCATAACAGCAAAAATCGTGTTAAAATAAAAAAAATCAACAATTATTTAGATTCAAACAAACCAAAATGCATAGAAGTTAAATCACATTAAAACAAATTGCACGTGCAAAATTTTGGTTGTTGTCTGTACCAATTAAAAACATCTGATGATCTGATGGGAACAAAAATGTAATTACCAAAAAAAAAAAAAAAAAGTTGGTTTGTTTCAGTAGTGGTACTGTACTGGCATGGGGGACAGAAAAGGGGAGGGCGGTGGTGGCAAACAGTAAAACAAAAGTCACATACGGCAAAACATTAGTAGTGCATGGTGAACAGTGATGGGGTGGGGGGGGGGTGGGGAGAAGAAAGCAAGCGAATCAGTCAACTACTGGGAAGAGCATTAAAAAAAACAACAAAAAAAAACAAAAAACGAAAGAACGAAAGAAAAGACGGGGCGCTGCACCTAAGGCCGCAGACAGAGCATTCCTCTCTCGGGCAATCCTGCAGAATGAGGTCAACATCAACAAACACCTGCCTGGAAAAAAGGGGGGGGGGGGAACGTCAGTGACAAAACAGCTGTTCTACCGAACGGCCATGGCATATATGTTGCTTGCTGATGGGGGGGGGGGTATCTGCAGTCAGTTCATCTCCCATCCATATTTAATAATAATAATATAATGATATATAGCATTTGTATAGCACAAATCCCCGCTCAACAGCAAGCTTTATGCGCTTCACAATCTATACTATTACCCCAGCAGACCTGAGAGCATTCTTAAACAAACTCAGCTTCCTGGGAAGCATACAGTGCAAGCAGCCATTTATAGGCGCTAAAACACTAACAAACTGACAAGATCTTTCGCTGTCTATGGTCGGGTACCCATTCCCACCTGGGTGAAGTGAGAAAAATTCGTGTAAAGTGTCTTTTCCAAGGACACAACGTCGGGCCCGCGGCTCGAACCCCCGACCCCGCAACCTCACGATTACGAGTCCGGTAGCCTAACCACTAGGCCACCGACCATATTTCTATGGTGCTATGCTCTAGATCTATACATACAACTGGTTTCTTGAAAAAACATTTCAACATGCACGCTGAAACAAAATAATATGAATAAATAAAAGAACCCCAAAAACCTGTTTTCTAAATGATCCCAGAAGACGCAAAGATCAGCCTATAATATTTTTCTTTTATACTATATAGCGTGCATGCCGACTCCTGATTTTTTATGAGGATTTGCAGGTCAACCCCCAACAATACTTTAGAATTTAAATAAAACGCCAACCCCCCCCCCAAAAAAAACATTTTTCAAAGTAAAAACTGCCCTCTATTTCTTCCAGTCACACAGATCGAGTATAACACCATCATCATTTGATTCCTTGTCACATGAACAGAGAGGCATGGGAAACACGATTCCAACCTCCGGGGCTCCATTATCACAACAGTGCCTGGCCACCATCGCAGGTGCAGTAGCTAGGCACTTCGCCTTTATACACAGGAGATCATCAGTTCCATTCCCAAGTGGCGGGGGGGGGGGGGGGGGGGGGAGGAGAATTTCCATTGAGAATCTTACGGGTTGGCCCCCACAGCCACAGTTGATGCCTGGCGTCTAAATGATCGAAACTGTGTCAGTGAGGGCTTGTATATAATAATATATAAAAACCCAAATTGATTTTTTTTAATCAACTCCCCCCCCCCCCCCAAAGTTCCACTTTGTGCTGCAAAGGACAAATCGAGACCTTCTTGTCCTATCTCCATTTGTAATAACAGTGAAAACAGTTCAAAACAAAGAGTGAGATTAGGTAGAAGTTACACTTTCACTATTTAAACACCATGAGTCAGAGTGGCATGGATATTGAGCCCCAAAACCCCTCTGTTCCTGGAGAAACAACCTGCCAGTGCATGAGGAAAAGGGACATATAGGGTAATTAAATAAAATAAGAACAGTTTAGCACGCACATAGCAAAATCAGCACGACACCAAAATCTTTCCACTATACGTACGAAATTCACGATGTTTGTGTTATGAATACATAAAAATATATGTGTGTGTATTAGAACAAAAGTTGTGGACGAGAAAATTTGTTTGCTCTGTGTGCGTGTTTTGTGAGGTACGTGCCAGACTGTATACACATATATATATATTATACATCACATATATATATATTATACATCACATATATATATATTATACATATATCACAGAGTTAACTTTTAATACCAAGCAATTTCCTCACAGCAGGGCTGCAGTGATTTGACTCATGAGGAACCTTTATTTTACAACTACATGATGCAGGTTTAAGTACACAAGAAGCAGCTGTTAAGACTTTACTCTCTTCACATGAGTCATGCATGGTAAGTGAATCACATCGTCAGCCATTCTCAAAAGGTTGGACACAAACTGTTGCCAAAATAACAAAATTTTTCATTTGGCCTGCTCAGTGTAAAAAAGACTCCACGTCATACGTCACTTTTGAAAACCGCAACGTCATGCGTCACTTTTCAAAATGGCGTATGGCTGTGTCATTTATCAAGCACTCAATATAGTTGTTTCTTGTGCTGCTCTGACTTTATTAATCTTCTATAAAATAAAGTGGAGTGGAACCTGCTCTTACAGTCAGCCATCGTATAAGACAATCACCGGGTACAAACCATCACCTCCCATTTCCTCCCTCGCCTACTTTTACATTGTCACATTACACAATTACATTGTGTAAGACGGCTGTCTATCTGAGACAGCTACCTCTATCTGAGACAGCCACCTCTATCTAAGACATCTACCTTTATCTTAGACTGTCGCCTCTATCTTAGACTGTCGCCTCTATCTACGACAGCCACCTCTATCTACGACAGCCACCTCTATCTATCTAAGACATCTACCTCTATCTTAGACTGTTGCCTCTATCTACGACTGTCACCTCTATCTACGACAGTCACCTCTATCTAAGACTGTCACCTCTATCTAAGACTGTCACCTCTATCTACGACAGCCACCTCTATCTACGACGGCCACTTTTCTCCCCCACAGTGGGAAGCAATAATAGTTCCGACTGGAGCAGTCACGATACATCAGTGCAACGTGCACCTCTTCATTAAAAAAAAAAAACCCAACAGACTTCAAATGAACTTTTTGTTTCTGTTGCATTCCAAAGATAGAAGCAAAAGAAAAGGGGCATTACAAAGTCGCCTTTTGAGAATGGCTTATTAAATATTAAAATGATACAACTGTTACCCGGTATCCCCAATATTTATTAGTTAAAATATAAAATACGTACGATATAATGGCAGCTTGGCCACCAATTGTCATCATAATGTCATAATAATATATGCATAAGAAACCATGAGTAAATGACAAACAATGGCAGAGTGGAATTAAAGGAGTCCTGACTCAACTCAACTGACACATTTCTCACTATAAAGGGCCAGACACATCTATTCTCACATTACAAGATTCATCAACAATTGGTCGCTTTTAAGCACAAGGGGGCTATCCCGAAAAATGCTGTTTTGAGAAAATCGAAGGTAAAGTTTTTGCCCCTTGTTCCGTTTCTTTAAGAGACAAGGAGAGTTTTCTCTATAACCAAACAAATATACACACCACTGAAAACAAACTTCTTCTCTCAGTAAGTTAGCCCGCTAGTCCTTAAAAGCAACCAATTTAAAATATAACTACGGAGAATCAACAAATGATCAGTTGACACACACTCCAAACCATTCTCCATGCCAATATTCGGTTCAAATGAAAGCAAGTTATGCTCAATATGCTCCCACACAGGCTTGTGTTCACACATTCTTCATTCTTCACGTCACACATTCTGTCTCTTGTGTTATTCATTCCCCCCCCCCCCTCATGCTTTTCTTAACACAACCACTTTTTCACTGGTACTTTATTATTAAAAATTCAGTCCAACTTACTGGAACTTCCACCTGTCTAAGACAACTTACTGTATCTTTCACCTGTCTAAGACAACCTACTCTATCTTCCACCTGTCAAAGACAACTTACTCTATCTTCCACCTGTCTAAGACAATCACCTGTACAAGCTACTACTTCCTACTTTACAGCTCTCCCTCCTCCCCCCCCCCCTCTTCCCCGCCTACATTTTTTCCAACAGTATTATTTATCATTAGAATGGCATCCTCCAAAACAACCACGTGGTCTAGACTAAGACAACCACTTATCTCCTCCACAATATAGATCACCATCAAGGGCAATAATTTCTACTGTCTTTTAAATTAAACAAAGCAACCCAAAAAGCAACGGGGGGCCTACGTACAGAACACACGAGAACTTACGTAAGTCTGGATCGAGTCCATGAAGGTCTGAGACTTTTCGTCCTTGTAGTAGTTCTCAACGCCATCCTTGAGCATGTCCGCTGTCATGTCCTTGAACTGTAGAGGATATATAAAGAAGTGTGAGGCGTGCTGACAAAATGAGTTACTTCTCACAATCCAAGAATGGAGATATCGGCCGAAAATCGACACTGGGGTCAGATTTACAGATTTTCAATTGACCCCATTTTCTTCAGGTCTACCGTGTCTTTAATTCTTCCACACCTACAAATTGTACAAACTCCACCTATACAGTTGATGTATCAATTTTCATAAGGCTGAAATCCGAGAAGTAATTCATTTTGTCAGCCCACCTCACAATCATTAGAAATCAAATGACGACGGAAACACTCCGTCTCTCCACAAAGTTCAGGATCGGCAACTTGTAGAGCAGTGTCAAAGCAGCATCGGCAGCCAACCAGGAAACCATCCCCCCCCCCTTTCTTTTCTCGTCTCGTAGCATGTTCAAATCTCTTGTCATCAGCGTAATAAATAACAGTAATAAATAAAGCTACCATTAAATTCACTAAATAAAGACTTGCACTTACAGATTGAACATTAAAAAATTAGACAATTTTAAGCAGTAAAATTTCCGTACCAACCACTTTTCTGTTCATTTAGTATAAGAAAATTAAACAACCAGCTCATAACAAAGCAGTTTCAACAGTTACAAATCTTGTACGACAAACTGTCCTCTAGTAAGTGTTCACCACTTTTAACTGTAAGTTTTGTAAGAGTTTTACGGCACTTGGGCAGACAAGAAACAAGACTCCACGACACTGTCGTTGCGGAGGTCAAGCTGCAATACTTACCGAGGACTTTGCCACAGCTGCCCAGATTCCAAATCCAAGCAAAGTAGCAAAAATGACGAAGAGGAACATGAAGAACTGGAGAGAGAGAAAAAAAAAAAAGGAATTACTTATTTTGTTGACAGGGGACACTGATTATCTTTTTAATACACATACATAATATACATGCACACACACACACACACACACACACACACACACACACACACACACACACACACACAAACACACATGCACAAACACACACACACATACACACACTTATTAAAGAGTCAAAATTGTTCAACATGATTCCCCATTTTCTAGAACAATTTAGTGGCTGGTCTTATAAAAATTAATAAATAATAATAAATTACACATATTTGTCTCAGAAGGGCACTTTGTTTTACAATGGCAAACATACATACATAAATACATACTTATAAATACGTACATACGTAAATACATACATGCATAAATACATACATAAATACACACTAGACTCTATTACACAAATACAGAACAGTTTACAAACAATGCCACTGTCGGTCGCCACTGTGCAGCGCCCTGTAATTTGAGCTAGGGTTGTCGTGTCTTGCTCAAGGACACACTCCAGTGACCACCCATCTGATCCCCATGTCACCGACACTTGCTTGACATTGCTTGAGTCAAAACTCACTACTCACTTAGCCAATGGAGCCCCCTTAAGACTGTTAGAGGGATGGATGTCTAGGACAGTACAGTTATATAAAGTACTTGTAATGAAACTGAAAATGCAAGGGAGGAAGTGGGACGAGGTGGTTTGTAAGGGTGGATGTCTCAGACATGATGCAGCCATTAGTCATCAACACAGTTCGATTTTAAGTGTCATTCATTCATTCATCCAGTGCCAGATCTGCGACAGACATTGGCGATCATGGTTCTCTATTCATTCCTTTGCTCGGATGCTCTTAATAAAGCCATATTTCCCTGATGTTTCCCCATTACAAATTCGTTTAGGTTCCCTTTATGGTTGCTCTGGGCCTACCCCTTCCTCGTTTGCCTTCAATTTTGCCAGTGAGAGCTAGATGTTCAATCAAGACTTTTATGTCTATTTAGGTGCCCCAAAAACTGCATTTGTCATTTCCTGATTGTTTTTAAGAGTGAGCGTCCCACGTGGGCTTCATCAAGCACTACCTCATTTGACTTCTTTTCCTTCCACGATTTAAGTGTATTATAGAAAAATGAGAGACTCTCAGGTTCGTTAAATAACACTATATCAAGACCCAACCTGGGACATCCAGTGTTACAACATCAGACTACAGTACGTAACAACAAACAAAAACACATCAAGTGGGACAGACCACGATCTTCCGCCTACGAACAGAACATATACAGCTCAACTTCCACCTGAACAGAATAAACCCGAAACTTCCCCCAATGTGTCCCTTGTGTGACTAAGCATATGAGACTGTGGATCATCACCTGTTCCACTGCACAGCCCTAAATGACATCAGAGCTACCCTTCTCCCTCCCAGACCTAACTTCGATAACACACTCTACGGAACATTACAGCAACTGCAGCAAACCTGCACTTATCACTACATGGCATTGGAGAGAAGGGCGAGAGCCCAGCTGTTGCTGCATCGATAACAACAACAACAACAACAACAGGGTTGACGACTATATCAAGACCCAACCTGGGACATCCAGTGTTACAACATCAGACTACAGTACGCAGTAACAAACAAAAACACATCAAGTGGGACTGGTCATGGTGAAGTGTGTGTGTGATAAAAAAAAGTCTACCAAAGTCCAGATTGTTAAGTCAAGGACAGTCCCGGGAAATCCAGGGGAGTTGATAAGTCTATAAATAATTCCTATGATCAATTCAAAATGCATGAGATAATAGGTAGGTAATAGAGATAGCATTTGTGCAGCGCAAATTCCCACTCAATAGCAAGATGTACGCACTTTACAATCCATACATTGACTTGACTGACATTATACACATGATTACAAAAACCCCAGCAGACCTGACAGATGATTCTAAACCAATCTCAACTTCCGGGGAACTATAGAGTGCAAGCTGTCATGTTATAAGCGCTAAAACATCAACATACTGACAAGATCTTTCGTTGTCTATGGCCAGGTACCCATGGCCAATCCCACCTGGGGTGAGTAAAGTGAGGAAAATTCGTGTAAAATGTCTTTCCCAAAGACACAACGTCGGGCCTGAAGCTCCAATCCCAGAAACTACAACCTCACAATGACGAGTCCGGTAGCCTAACCAGTAGTCAAAAATAAAAGACATGACACTTTCTTCTTCTTCTTCTTCCTCGTTCTCCATGACAGCAGCTAGACAGTCAGTCCGATGTTTCGCATTAACTGTGCAGTCCGCTTCAAATCTGAGAGACAGCCGTAGAGCTTTCTCTCAAGGAGAGCCACATTCTTCCACGTCTGTGTACGAAGGGTGAAATGCTGAAGGACATGGTTGGCATCTTCTTAGTTGTGTCCACATTCACAGATCGATGACTCTCCCACTTTTAATTTCTGTGTGCATATATATGGTGTTTGAGACATGAAACAAAACCCCCGACTCACCAAAGCAAGCATGCATTGGCTCTCTCTGATGGCTCCGCAGCAGCCCAGGAAGCCGATGAGCATGATGAGGAAGCCAATGGCCATGAGAACGTAGGCTAACGTGTAGAACATGTCAATCTTCGAGGACTCATGCATGAATTCTGCCGCTCCCTCATCTACCCTCAGCCAGATTCCCACACCTAAGATGGCGCAGCCTAACAACTGAGGAAAAGAAACAATCAAAGAATTTCATTTTAGTAAGTTTAACGAACAGCATTTGCAGCACAACAAGGTCATATACATAAGTGTCAAAGATTAGAAGTGTTACAAGAGAGTAACAAACACAAAACAAAAAGAGGCAAAAACAGAGGACGAATCTAGATGTTAATGAAAAAGAACGAGCAAACCGCAAAAGAGCTCCTACCAACCACTCATGTGTCCATTGAACTAGACTGTGTTGAGTATTTGAAGCATTATATACACACAAGAGAAGAAACACATTGACATGTAGCAATAATGAATAATGGCCGTTATTAAGAGATTAAAACCCTATCCGTACGTCGCGTTTTTACTATCGTATCCATATGACATGAGGAACTCTGAGCCACCACTTTCCAAAGAGAAAGTTTACTAGTTAATCCGATCTGTACACATAGGGTTTTTAAGTAAGCACAGAAGAAGGACCTACCAGCAGTGCCCTCCAACAACCAGCTTGAACTACGTTCATATCACAGTAAAAAGAAGGAGCATTATCAATTATGTAAAATTTACTTTCGAATGTTAGCGCTACTTGAGGATTTTTCACTAGTAATGAATCTAATGAGCCTTTTGTACTGTAAAAGTGTTAAAATTTGTTAATCTGTGTCTCACAATAGACCTTCTTCTCAGCCTGAACTGTTTTCCCCCCATGATATAATCTGATGTCTTCCAGTTTTATGTTTGGTATTATGGGTATCATTTCACTTTCACTACCGTCTCACTCCCACATATTTAATTTTTTTGGGTGGCAGCACCCTTAGAGCTCACGGAATGTCCATCCTACAGGCCACTCGCCTTGCCGCAGACAGACCCCTCTGTGTGTCTCCCCGCGACACCCACCAGTACAAGTGGAAGAAATAAGTTTTTAAGTAAGTAAACTTTTTCTTGCTCATTTCTATCCCCATTTTAAACTAATATCAACTATTCCTCGCAAAGACATCGGACTTGTGTCCCTTCAGACCTCAGACTCATTTTCAGCGTTACATTGATCAAAATTGGGGTAATCCTTACCATTTACGGTCCCTACAAGTTTGTTTTATATTTTGCCACGATGAACACCCGAGACTTCTCGATGAACGCCAGATTGGTGCATGACCTCCTTTCCATGTTTCATTTTCTTTTTTGTCTCATTACAATTATAATAATTTAATTAGTAAAATATCAATTGTAATGTAATTACTGTGATAGGACTTTCCTTAATTTATGGCGCTGTGCACCAGGATGACAAGTGGAAAATTACATTGTTTTGTTAGTTTTGTAAAGTGATTTACGGCGCTCGCAACTGCATAAGTCATATGAGCGTGCGGGACACACCTAATATCTTTCAGTTGGTAGGAAATTTGGAATTTTGCCCGGGGGGCGGCCGAAGCCTACTCTTATCGATTTTAGACCACCAAGGGATCTTTAACGTGCTCAACTTGCGCACGGACACTCTGAGATTTTTCGCCCTTGTCCGAGAAGGCTAGGTGTAGATCTTTCCTACCAGAATATCAGGGGTGTGGCAGAAAGACAGCAGTAAGGAGGAGCCAAGGAGTAGCAGTAGAAAGGCTGCAGAAAGAGTCAGGAGCCCAGAGGAGGGGCAAACGAGGTGAGGGGGTGGGGGCGGAAAGTGGAAATGAAAGCAGACAACAGAACATTGCTAGAGAGCAGGAAAGGAGGTGACAGGAGACAATTTTAGAGAAGAAAATTGTTAGGTCGCTTCCCGGATTCGAACCCGGGACCTTCGAATGAGAGGCTAACACCTTAACTTCTAGGCCACGAGAGCCCCAATTACATTGTTTAACGCGTCCTATGGATTTTTGCCATGCAACTATCTCCACATGAATTTTTTTTCTTTAAGTAAGAGTTTTAAGGTGCTCTCAACTGCATCATAAGGTCATATGAGTGCGCGGGACACCCTCCTAATTAGGACCGGCATCGTACCTTTTCCTGTCTTTTCGCCTGGTGTGTTTCATGTCTGTTCGCGTCTTTTCGCATTTTAGTGAAAAGTGGAAAATTAAGTTGTTAAACTGGTCTTGTGGATTTTTGCCATGCTGCATGCAACTCTCTCCATGTGTATTTTATTTTTAGGTGTGTTTTACAGCGCTCACAACTGCATAAATGGTCATGTGAGCCCGCGAGACACATTACAAACATTTTCAGTTAGAAATTATTTTTTATTTTGCCCATTCCCTTCACCATATCCACTTGAAAAAAGAACGAAGCAGGTGAAGCACAACTCTAGCAAGCAAACCAATCAGTGGACTATCTGCATTTTTATAGGTTACCAAAAGTTGCATAGGAAACAGGGGTCACGTACTTTGAGCATGATTAAGAGGGGGTGTAAGTTGTAAGCTTGTTTCGTCGCAAGGCGACTGAAATTGGTGAAGTTACCGGACTCTACTCTAAAAGTCCCCTCCCAAATAGGTACCGTTATCTTTTCGTGTTTTTCACGTCTTTCCGTGTCTTTTCATCATGTATTTTTGTATTTTCGCATCTTTTCATATTTTAGAATGACCGCTTTTTGGTACACGCAGTGTGAGCGGTTTGATGTGCAGTGTGAGTAATTTGGGGTGAAGGCATCGCCACAGTTATTTCCATGCTTTGGACCTATTGCCAATAATATTCTATTAATTGCCACAGAATCACGCTGTGGCAACTACAACTACTATGCTTGTTAATTGCGAGAGTGAACAGGGAGCTCTTACGTTGATGATTAGGCCCTAGAATTTAACATCATCTAGACCTACCATTTCCGCTTTCGTATCCCAGTGTGGTGGTCCTAGTCTAATCTCTGCCTGACAAGGAAAGCTTTCTAGAGCAGGCATTCAAATCTAACGACAAATTTGACAAAGCTTATTTTGCTAAATTTAAAGATGAAAACTTTGTTGCCTTTACTTTATAAATTATAAAGTAAAAAAATCATCTGAAACAGTTGAGAAGGCGAACTTAAAGGGTGAGGCAAAAAGCCACAAAGACTTTCTGTACAGTAGAGTTGACTTATCTGCACACATTATAGACAGCCCAAATATTGAGGCAACAAAATCAACAAAACATCAGCAGCATACAACAGCAACAAAAGCCACTAGATTCTAGGGGCAACAACAGCAACATCGAGAAAAGAGCTGTGACTGTCTGCGTTTGTTAGTTTGGTGCGTGTATGTGTGTGTGTGTGTATGTGTGTGTGTTTGTGTGCGTGTTCACGCACGCGTAAGGCCACCAAGCGGTGTGCATTTGGGTGTGTGAGTGTGAGTGTGTGTATGCGTATTTGTATGAGTATGTGTGTGAGAGAGGGTGTGTCAGTGCATGTGTGTGTGTTTGTTTTTCTTTTTTCTTTTTAACTTCTTTGTTGTCACAGACTTAGATCTAGATCTAGATCTAGATTCTAGTCTGCTGCAATTAACGCAGCATTAATTTTCACAGTCACTCAGTCGCAATTTTAACGCCCCTCGGCTGACTTTTTTTTAAAATCTGGGGGGTTACAGAGAGGGATGCCATCTGTTTTCTCCCCATAATTTAAACATTCTTGGCCTAGAACTAAGAAGCAGAGATTAGAATAAACCAAGATTCTAGATTCTAATCTAGATCTAGATCTAGATTCTAGATGTAGATCTAGATTTCATAAAGATGTTTTGCAGACTGCAATGTATGATCTCTAGCCCTAGCCAAGATGTAGATCGGCCTACAGCCAGAATACAGGCATATCTATTTTACTTGAAGATCCATTTACATCTAATTCAAATAAACAACGCCTCATTAAAAGTAAAAGGCCGATAATCCTACGGGCCTGGCCTATTTGTATGGTAACGGTAATAAAAAAAAACTAATAAAAATTATAAATAGGATAGGGGCCTAGCCTGAAAGATCAAAATTAAAATAAAACTGAAACACGAAACTAAAATCGTGCAATCCTCATCGCTTATCACAGTCCTGTTTCCATTTTAGCAGTTTACGGTTAGGTAGAGATCTATTCAATACGGACAACTTTTGAAGTTCACTTACCCAAAATATGAAGTTGAAGGCGAACATAAGATACTTGATGCATGTGTAGCAGCTCCCGAGCGCCATTTTCCTTTCACTTGTTGTTGGCAGTGCTCTAAACAAGAATCAACAACTGGCTTCAGAACTGTTATACTTCGTGAAAATGCCTTGCACTAACCAGTTTCAAGTACAGCAAAGCAGTGGAAAAGACACAAAACTTGATATTAATCCACACTGATACAAATCTCAACTCTGTGGAAGCGTTTCAACAACTAGCGACACCACAATACGACACAAGTGCTGCAGAGAGGAAGTAGGAAGTAGCGAAGCGATAAAAGCGAAGTATGGCGAGCGTACCTTTCAGAGCCGTGTTCAAGAAGCAGAGCGAAACCTTCCGCTATCTAAGCAAACCGATCGCTAGGCTAATTTGTTGTATGTTTCGGCTAGGGTGCTGGGAAAAGAGGAGGAGGAGGGGGAAATAGTTTGGGGGGAGGGGGGGTGATATACAACATAACCAAATCGAAACTACCACAACGAAATTTTCTTGCTATGAAAGTGGATTTAAAACAGCATGTCGTCTATATCATAACTGATGGACAGAGTTGCAGTTGAAGAATATGTTTCTGAATAAGACTTCACAGTTTGTTCTTCTTTTTCTTTTTCCTTTTTTCAGAAAAGGGTTTTTCAAAATAGTAATAAACTAATCATCTTTGTCTCAAAAACTAGAGGTCTTGTTTTAGAAAAGTTCATATTTATAATTCGAATGCTTCAAACGCGCATTGCACTTGTTTATCATAACTATTTGTATTTTTTTTTCTTTTGGTCTTTCTCATGCTGGCGTCTGCATTGTAACCGCTAGAGTCTTGGCTGTTGCTTGCAGGTAAACGAGTCTGATTTCTGAGAAAGAACGTTTATCACCACCCATTGTCTCTGCGCCACTCTAGTGTGTCTCATGCTGCTGAATGGCCGTACTGTGGTTTTGGCTGAACACGGAGGGTCGATTACTCTGCCTGCTTCCTAAACGATCTTAATTATGCCACTGGGGTCTTGGGGCATTATAAAAGGGTTGAATTACCGTTAATTTTATTAAATAAATAACAGGTGGTGTCAATTTTTACTGGTTGGAAGCTCGAAAAGCTTGTTCGAGATTGCGTCCTGTTGGCTATTGTCGGATGTTGAACACCCCTCTCTATTTTGTGCCATGCACGGGCAACGTTACGGGCACACGATCTTATAAAAACAAGCAACTGCAACGAAACGAAATTATGAGTGCATCATCGGGCACGGAGTTCATTCAAGTTCGTAGGCAAAGCTAGGCCTCGCTTGTTGAGAGAAAATAAAATATAAAATGTTGATCATGTGGGGGGGGTTGCTGGTTTGTTGGTATTTCTAGAGGTAGTGAAATTGAATATACATATACATTAGATCTATATCTAGACGTCTACACTGTTTGATTCTTATTATGTTTTTCTACTGTTATAAGTGTTACCATCTCCCTTCAAAGTAAGAAGGGGGAAAGGTGGGGGGGAGGAGGAGTGGGCTTCGAGCGTTAGCCTAGAGTTCCGTTTTCTGTATTTCGCAAAGAACATTAGTTTAACAACAACAATGCAAAGATGAACAACAACACACTAACAAACAAACACCAAAAAAATGCATAATACTGTAGTTTGAGAGACTCGTACAATAGCCTGCTCAGACAAAAGTTTTGAAACAAGGATTAGGCTAGTCGAATAGAAGAATGCCTCTTCCTCTAACAATGGGATGGGCACAGATGGGTGGGCGGCCTCGCCTCGCCTCGCATAATACATAGCCTAGGCATAGAGGCTATGAACGTTTGACGTCACGGTTGTCTGAGCACTTCCAAGTGACCCACCTTTTTTTCAGTTTGCACTTTAACCGTTTCGTTTGATATTTAAAAAAGAAAACTCTGTTCTAGCTTTAACTGCTTTGCCGCTCAAACCATTTATTTGTCAAGTCGTTGTGGGTGGTTGCATGGTTGGAAGGATCTTTGTCTGGCTGGTGTGGTTTGTTAAATTCGTCCTTTCCTATAGTATAGGCCTACGATTGAGTCCACCCCCTTCTCTCTCTCTCTCTCTCTCTCTCTCTCTCTCTCTCTCTCTCTCTCTCTCTCTCTCTCTCTCTCTCTCTCTCTTTCTCTCTCTCTCTCTTTCTCTCTCTCTTTTATCTCTGTCTCTCCCCCTCTCTCTCTCTCTGTCTCTCTCAAACACACACACACACACACACACACACACACACACACACACACACACACACACACACATACACACACTCTCTCTCACACACACACACACACACACACACACACAACATGCTTAAGTCCATCGTCAATACCCGTTCTCTAGTCTAGATGTAGATATCAAGATGTAGGCCTATATAGATCGAATCATAAACGAGTTTTGTCATAGAACACTCAACGATATAAATGTAGGCCAACAACTTCACTATGACTATATACGGTGCAGCGGTAATTTCAGGTGCCGTTGTGAACGAGGGGAGTTGGGGCCGCGTCGTAATAAAATTAGAATACAGGTATTTTTATCACACGGTTGCTCGTTGGGTGTTCAGTTGAGTCTCACACCTTACGCCCACAGACATCCAATACAGATAATTAATTGTAGAAATTGGCATTTTCCCGCCGGTTTGAGAACCCACTTCTGTGTGGGTTTTACTGAAAAACGTTGACTCTAGGAACAAGAAAAGTAAATGTTCAGTTTTCATGGACTCTCAGGCTTTGTAAATAACCAAATCAAATTTGGGCACCATTTTCTCGCTATTTATTTTACCTCTGAAACCAAGCGACCCCCCCCTCAATCAATTGCAGATATCTCGACTTGTATTCAAGTTAGTTTTTCATTCATCGGAAGCAAGGCAAATGCACCAGCTTTAATAAGGCGATACGAATAACTCCACATGCCCAAAAATTGACGAGCGCCTGATTCCACCACGCCGTGACACACACATTATGGAGACATGGCTGACGTCACTGTGTGTTGTGGAATCCGAAAAAGGTGCCAAACACGGCAATTAGGCCGAGTCGCTGGTGGTGGTATGGTGGTAGGCAGGAATGCCGAAATGGGTGCAGTATGTATGTTGGCTACAGTAGAGTGTAAAGCTCAATGTTGTTTGTAGTATGTCATTTCTGTCATTGGATCGGTATCGTTTATTGTGGCGGTAGGCAGGAGCGTGGAATGGGTATTGTACAGGGAAGCATGCCAGTTTGTCACAAGCCCAGTTTGTCATACACCCATTTTGTCACAGGTCCAGTTTGTCATAAGCCTATACTGTGACCTGCATGATGGAAGTTATCACTGACACTCTCAAAAAGAGTAAATGAATGATTGATTGATTGTATGAATTGAATTTTATTTTTCAATTGTTTTTAACGAAAGAGCATTCATTGTTGAAAATGTTCAGAGAAATTAATAGCTTTGATTACGTACAAAAAGGAAGAAATATTGAAAAACACGACAATCTGAATTGACATTTTAGAGGGACTATCTACGCCGCCGATGTGAAGGAGGAGAATTTAAAAAACTTACGTTACAACCACAGGTTCTTTTTTCCTTTTTTTTCTAGCGCTGCTCCTGCTGCGACAAGGTCGTGTTTGTTGTTTGTTGTTTGTTTAGTATAGGGTTTTACGGCGCTCGCAACTGCATAAGGTCATATGAGCGCGCGGGACACACCTAATACTTTTTTGTTGGTAGGGAATTTAGAATTTTGCTCGGGTGGCGGCCGAAGCCTACTCTTATCGATTTTAGACCACCAAGAGATCTTTAACGTGCGCAACTTGCACACGGGCCCTCCGATATTTTTCGCCCTTGTCCGAGAAGGCTCCTACCAGAAGATCAGGGGCGTGGCTGAAAGACAGCAGTAAGAAGGAGTCAAGGAGTAGCAGTAGAAAGGCTGCAGAAAGAGTCAGGAGCCCAGAGGAGGGGGCAAGGGAGGTGAGGGGGTGGGGGCAGAAATAGGAGACGAAAGCAGACGACAGAATATTGCTAGAGAGCAAGAAAGGAGGTGAAAGGAGACAATTTTAGAGAAGAAAATTTTTCGGTCGCTACCCGGATTCGAACCCGGGACCTTTGAATGAGAGGCCAACACCTTAACCTCTAGGCCACGAGAGCCCCCTAAGGTCGTGTTTACATCGGCTCTGCTTGTTTTGGAGCTCTTTTACTGCTTCTGTTTGGACCATATATCTATGGTTTGGACTGTGTGTCTGAAACTGTCCTTATTCCACCATGGAGGTGCAGTGCTGTGTTCGGACTTATAATATGGAAAACATCGGAGGTAATACCAATACCAAAAAAAGCCTAAAATATATGAATTAAATGACTTAAGACCAGTCGCTCTTACATCCATTGCTTTCAAGTGCTTTGAAAAATTGATCCTCTCTAATATTCTAGGTTGTGTTCATGGAAATCTAGATCCATTCCAGTTGGCGTTCAAACAAGAGAGGAACGTAGAAGATGCTGTACTTGTTTTTTGTGACTCTATACTGAAACACCTTGAAACATCTAAAACGTACACGAGGGTACTTTTTGT